GAAAGTTATTTATATTATTATTAGACCAGTTTGACTACTTTTGTTTTTTGTTTTTGATGGCAAGACACAACATGTAGATAGGCAGGTGACTTATCTGCTGCCTCTGTGCACACTCAATAGGAGAAGCGCTAGAACTCGACAACACTGAATACCTCTGGTTGTTTTTTTAGAGCCAGTCTTTTTGTCATAGCAAAAGAATGACAAACAAGGTGGAAAACTCACCTCACATGACATGAAAAGGCAAACTTAACTGAGTCACAGCACAAAAATAGATATGCTTCGACTCCTGTTAGAATTCCTAGTAACTATCTGAGGTCATATCTAGATTTTAAAAAGCTGGCCATGTTATTGTGTTGCATAAAGGGCACGTGCTTATAACATTAAACTTTGAAAACACTCTGAGTTCAGTAATAAAGTACTTTAGAACATTAAATAAATAGATTAAGAGTTGTGTCTAATCAGAACTTTATTATTTTATCAAAGCATAAAGTTGTCTTAGCTGATGTGTTTACAGTTAATTGGTCATTTACATATCCAACAGAAAGTGATACATTTGCACTCATTTGGAGTCATCTTTTTCGGTTCCACCTAATCCAGCCAACCGTTCACTCTCACTTCTTGTAAAACATATACATTCACTGGCCACTTTATTAGGTTTGCCTAAGCATCTCAACAACTCAATGTCATGCAGACATAGTCAAAACCAGCTAACTTTTCAAGCTAATCTAAGCTTTTTTCATTTGTTTGTCCTTTTGTTTTTTCTAGCTCAATATTGGTGTCGCTGGATGATAGACATTTAAGAACACCAAATACTACCTTTAAAAGATGAATCATTTTTCTTTTTTTTTGCTGAAGACATCTGTCTCACCTGGGAATGGTCTGAATGATAAAGATGTCTTGTCCACGGACAGATTCTTTCACATCCACTCTAGTCTCTGAATAAAAAGCACAGTTTTTATGTATTCATGAGTTACTGTGGCAACAGGAAACCATAGTTCATTAATATTTGACATTAAATGCTTGGCCTCACCTGAATCTGACTCTTGATAAACCACTGACTTGCCCAACTCCACCCCCAAACGCCTGGGGGGGAAAAAAAACAGGGTTAAAAAAACATACCTTGGTGTACTGCACTAACTGAAGCGTGTAAATATTATTTTTGTACTAAGACACTATTTTCTGCCCAGCAGTTTGATAGCTCTCCATCTGAAGAACTTCAAGAACTAAAGTTTAAAATTATTACATTATTGTGTGGAAATAAACCTTATATTTTGGCTATCAACATCGTGTGTGTCAAAATCCATTTATCTAGGTGAAATGATCAGTTTCTTAAATGATTTTAAGAAATACATTTAATTAACAAATAATTTTGGTCACTGATAACTGACCTTTTCTATTTTCTGATATAAATTTAGAAGTTTGAACTTACTGGTGAGACAAAATTTCTTTACTTGCTTTATCCCCCTGGATCACATCATAAAAATTGTACTTTGTTTCTTTACCGTTAGTCTCAAAGGTAAACACCTCAATTTGGGCTCTGATAAGTTGGCGGTTCTTAAAATTTTTTTTTAGAAATCTTAACTAGAAGCTATTTAGGTCAAAAAGCAACAGCCAAAATGCAAGCAGAGAACCCATCAGTCTGTACTCTACACTGCTGCCTCACCCTGTTTGCATTCATAAATCTCAGACTTTTTCAATTTTTTGTTATGACAGTACCATAAAGTAGCCTAATCAAAACAGGGGATGAACATATGGGACATTTTTTCCCGTTCATAGAAAGATATATTTGTCTAACCAGGGAAGGTTTCAAGCATGTTGTTTTCCTTTCATCACATCCAGGGAAGAATAAAAATAAGGATGCTTTTGTTCCAGTCGTATTCACACCCAGCCTCTGAGTGCACGTTAGCATAAATATTCAGTACAGTATTCATTAATATTTTTCTCTCTATTTTCTCTGTTGTTTTTTAAAACCTTTGCTCCCCAAGAAAACACAAAATGAAAACGCAAGCATAATCTGGCTAAAAAAAAATCTCCTGCAACTTTGCCAAGCACTGAAAACTAAGAAACCTTGATTCTTTCCCCTCCCTACTGGGTGGGAAGTGCAACTTCCATCTGGCTATCTAACAAGGCTACAGGAGCAAAAAAACAAATAAAACAAAAACAACAAAAAAATAAAGGATGCTTTCAAATTACAGTAAGAGAACCACTTGTTTTTAACCAAAAGAAACACTGCCTCGTGTACATGCTCTATGAATCACAGCCAATTAAGTATTTTGCCTATCACAGTAATACCCAGTAGTACATCTATACCATGCTTACTTCGAAGACAGACCTGGATCTGAAAAGCATACTCCCTTTGTAACAATGATTACCACTGACAGGTTTATCTCTCATTGCAGAAAAAAAAAACAGATTTGTCATTAGCTAATAAAAAAAAAACTTCACTGTACAGTGCCGTCCTCAGTGTTTCGTTACTATGTAATAGCACTTCAAAATAAAATGATTTTTAGGAAAAGTGGCAGGTTTGGTTATGTTGACCATTGAGGTACATAAATTGGACCATACATAAATTCAGGTTTTACAGCCAATAAGCTGATTAAATAGTTACACAGCATGCAGTGACATCTGGAATCAGTTATCAAAAAGTAAGATAGGCAGTTTAGTTGAAGTAAACATCAATACTTTTGCAGATTTACTGTCACATCTTCAGGTACAATGAGGTGATGCATATCCACTTAATTGGATTTTCTTAAAATGTTCAGTGCAAAGTCTTTTTTTAATCTCCGTTTCTAAGGCTTTTATTCTTTGGTTCAGTATTTGCCATAAAACTTGTTGAAGTGTGTTAAAAGGATGTTTTGAACATGCATTACGTAATGTACGAATGTAGGCCATGTACACTGGGTCACACTACGCTGAGCAGTAACACCAACATCTTGTGGCGAGAGTAGTGTGATTGTCATGCCTTGGTCCACAGTTTTCACAATAGTGATTGTTTTTGTCGTACTGAATTAAAAACAACGTAAAGTCACACGCGTGCAGCTGTAACGTGGTGTTTTGACAGAGACTTGGCTTGCTAGCAAGGCCATGTCAACATCACACACGAATCAACATGACTGTGTACTCATCGTTATTAAATCGTTAAATATGTTGCAATGACACGAACACATTAAGTCAACAGTTATTAATTTCACTTACTCTGTTATCTTCTGGGCCAGCTCGGTGCATGCGGTGGAAGAGTTGGCAGAAAAAACACGGTAGCCACCTCTGGCAATGTTCATTTTCGTGTAACCATAGGACAGCTTTGGGGACTGAGACTGAGAAACCAAAGACCTGTGACCCCCAAAGCGTCTAACTGGCATGTTGGTTTGGACTCACTGTGGGCTCTGGTTTTGTTTATCTTAAAGTGCCCAATTTAGCTGAAAACCGACTACTATACTTGAATCTAGTTCGAGCACGTTTGAGATCTCAGCCTTGCGGACGATTCTTAAATTAATAAAAATACAATAAACACTAAAACGCTACAACCAAAAACACTGTATATACGCTACACCAACAAAGAGCACATGCTCCACGTGTAATGTGGATGCAACGCTAGCGTTAGCGAATCAACGACCACCCACAAATCGCCAACCGCCACAGAAACCCCCACTCTATCACAGTCCACAGCAGATGGAAAGCTGAGCTCTCCGTTTCCATGCGGTCACTTACGTTGTGACGCATTCAGAGCAAACGCGCTGCTTTTCGAAACTATTAAGGGAACTGAAAGGTGCCAAAAGCAGCCTTGGGTACAGCAACAACCCGCTACTGCAAACACGTCGCCCGGATAATTAAAACGTAGCTGCGTTAAAACTTTCTGTATCTTAGCCGTCGCAGTAACAAAAAACGCCACGTGCACAAGCTCATTGGATGTGGGAAAGTCGCGACTGACAGCTAGAGGCCCAATCAGAAAGAAGTTAGAAATAGCAGGCGTGCGTGATTAAATTTTTAACCAATCAGAAACCGGGATTCGTATTACCTAAAATTAAAGCGCAACGGAGTAAAAAAAGAAATGTGGTGGGAGCTGCGGGGATTGGTTTACCCCTCTGTCCCTGCACTGGACTGCAATGGGGAAAAAAAAGATTCTTGCTTTAAATCGTATGAGACAACGCTGGAGCGAGTGAGTAATCGCTCGGTGTAAGGTGCAGTACCAGCAGATTAAAATAGGTTTAAAAAGAAAGAAACAAAAAACGCCCTCTGCATCAAATCATTTACAAAATACTGAGTTTTTAAGTTAATTTTACATTTCTACTGAAAAACATGTAATTTTACGATATTTTTTTAGCCTCTTTAAAAATATATTTTTATTAATCCACATATTTTAGTACATGTGTGCAGGTGTACAGACAAGTTACTGTCTTAGACAAGATAATTTCCCCATGGAATAAGTTTGTGTGTGTGTGTGTGTGTGTGTGTGTGTGCGTATGCTATTGCCTCCTGACAAGGTCTGCATTTGAGCTCCATTTTGATAAGTAAAACAAAGGAAAGAATTCATTTCTGGAAAATGAGGAGAAATACAGAGAAACATGTTACCTAAAAGTGACCACCCTCATCACTAGTAGTTACACAACAAGTCTAGTAAACAGTCTGCAAATTTGTGTAACATTTCCTAGTAAACAAAACCTTGCATATAATGGGAAAGTAGCTTGCTCCATGTGAGGTCACACAAAAAGGTCCTTTTTTCAAGACCTAAGATGTTCCACCTCATGAGTTTAAATATTTAGGAGATTAATGTATGATGATGATGAATCACTTTATAACAGCACTATGACATGTAGTACATTTGATTCTAAAAAATACTGTGCTTGAATAAGAGGGGGTAAATGTAAACAATGTTGATTATAAACTGCCACACGAACACTCTTTACTATTTGTTTTATTTGCAGAATAGACATCATTGCCTTTTTTAGGTTAAAACAATTTGTTTATCTGCCTTATATTTTATACAACACATTGTGGGGACCCACTGTAAGGAAAAATAACATGTCAAGTTTGTTTTCTATATAATTTCACAGTAGTGCTATCATGTAAACTAAAGTAATCATAAAAAAAACACCAATGTGTACATCAGCAGAAAATGTTTTTTAAAAAGTGCTGCATCGTGAACATATATCTACCTTATACTGTAACTTTTATGGCTGACCGATCCCTACGAGGGATTAGCAACTTTAACAACTGCTTACAAAAAGGGTGCTAACTTTTCATTAATCAATTCATTAATATTTTATTACAAAGTAATTTTTATCAAGAACACAAAAAAAAAACAATTCTTACAATCTGAAGAATAAAGTGAAAGACTTCATGGCTTGTTTTAGTGTGAATTTTTGCATTAAAAAGTGCTTACCAGTCAAAATACAGCAATTTGTTCAGTAAAATATAGTTTTATTTCTATGTATGTTTTTTAAAATGCCTTCAGATAGAAAATGTTTAATAAGGCATGTGTAAAGTAATTATCTGGGTAAATGCTACAGAGCTAAGAAACATTTAGGTCCACAACCCCAATTTCCTAAATATACAGGCTATTATGTATTTATTATGTTTGCTTTTTTTTCCATTCTAGCACTGCAAACAATTTTATATTCTCTGAAAAGAGCTTATAATGTTGTTGGTGTCATTCTAGGAAAAGGCTAGCTTTATTGACTTTTTATAACAGAACATACACAATGATCCTGTCTGCCAGTTCTGGCTCAGTGGATCACCACACCTAAGATGCCACACCACGCCTATTTATCCTTTCCATTACTTAATTTCAGCTACTGTAGTGCTATAAAAACCTAATTCAGACTGTCACGGGAAATAAAACTCACCTAGTCTCTTAACATTTATAACAATTAGCGTGGGGCAGTTTGTGCCGGCTGATTGTTATAGATGCTGTCATTACCTGTATGTCAGTTCTGCAGCTGCTTTTAGTCTCCAAACTTTGTGCTGTTTTCAGTGCTTTATAGCTCATTTCTAATGAATGAATGCAAATCTATGTGCAAAAATATTCAGAGCCTTCGCACACCTGGATTTCTGAACTTAATTCCAATATTTCTGGTTGATCTGGCTTTGTTTTCAGTAAATTGGAGTCCCTAAAATGCATTTTAAATGCATAATTAAATTCATATTTAAGTTCTTTATGGACCCTATTTCATAATGCTACCAGCACTATGCTTTACTATGTCTGGGGAAACAGGCCAGGTGGTTTTATCAGTTTTGTCCTGTAAAAATAAATGATTGAGTGTACTTTGATAAGGAAAAGCCAATTTTACCAGTTTAAGACTATAAAACAAAAGAAAGTGCACATAAATAAGATGTCTGAACACTTTTTCAAGCAATTCCACACATTTGTCTAGGTAACCAGTATCTGACGCTCATAATCTTTTATTTCTAGTTTCACTGCATTCCTTCCTCTTTTTAGTGGATAACTTTGCCCCTCCCACTCCCAACCTCTGCAAATTTACTAAAAAGAAATGCATCAAAATGCAGGTGATAAAGTTTTAATTTGTCAGCCTTTCAGCACCTTCTCTTTTAAAAGGTCCAAGATGACCTGCCTCTCTTGGCTCTCAAGCTCAAATCTCCGCTCCCTCTCTTTTCTCTCAGCTCCCAGACGTTCTCTCTCCAGAGTGATCTTACCTGAAAACGTGAAGTGAAAATGGATATCAGCACAATGGCAGCTTGACAATCTTCATAAAATTCTTTTCAGATAAGTTTTAGAGGGTATTGTTTTCAGTTGAGTGGTATTCTTTTTATTAGTATAGACACTAGTATTTTTTTGTTGGTTTTTTTGGCAGGGATAGCTCAGTAGGTAGAGTGGTCGCCCCCATGATTGGAAGGTTGGGGATTCGAATCCACTGAACGGCTACCCTGATGTACCCCTGAGCAAGGTACCGTCCCTACACACTGCTCCCCGGTGCGCCTGCTTAGTGGCTGCCCAATGCTTCACTGAGTGAATGGGTCAAATGCGGAGGAGTAATTTCCCCACGGGGATCAATAAAGTATACATTATTATCATTATTCATGCACACTTGCATTTTAAACATAACATAAAAACCTAAGCATGATGCTTCAGTTCTGCTGAAGTTCAGAATAAGCATCAGTCTGGGGGAAAAAAAAGTTGATTTAAGTGGCTTTGAATCTGGCATGGCAGACAGGATGGTCTCTGTACTTCAAGAAATCCCCTGGGATTTTGCAACACAACCATCTCTAGGGTTTACGGAGAATGGCCAAAAAAGACAAAACATCCAGTGAAAGCAGTTTTCGGTGGGAGAAAATATGTCCCTGATGTCATTAACTCAATAGTAATTCAAGTAACATGTCAAGTAATTCAAATAACCACTCATTACAACCAAGGTATGCAGAAGAGCATCTCTGAATGCACAACACATCAAACCATAAAGCAGATGGGCTACAGAAGCAGAAGACCACACTGGATGCCACTCCTTTGGCTACAAAATCTGAGACTACAGTTTTGGTCACAAAACTCACCAAACTCAACAAAACTATAAAGAAGATTGGAAAAATGTTGCCTGATCATTTAAGTGTTGATTTCTGCGATGGTAGAACCAGAATTTGGCGTAAAAAACATGAAAGCATGGATCCACCCTGTTTTGTATCAGTGGTTCGGGATGGTAATGTTAATAGTGTGGGGGCATGTTGTCTTGGCACATGTTGCTCCCCTTAGTAGCATCTAGTATCGTTTAAATATCACAGGCTACTTATTAGTGACAATGCCCAGTGAACAGAAGATTTGCGTCATATAGGGTCAGCCGACAAATCTGCAGCAACTGTGTGATGATTTCATCTCAACAGACCCATATCTATGAGGAATGTTTCCTTGTTTAAAGTAATCCGCACATAATTAAAGCTGTTCCAAAGGCACAAGGGCATTCAACCCAGTACTAGCAAAGTGTACCTAATTAAGTGCCCACTGAGTATTCTCATGCCTGGGCTACTGGAAATAAGAAATGAGTGGGAACAATTAAGCACATGTGAAACTAATGAGGGTGAGGCTGGCAAAAATTTAATAAATAAATAAATAACACTGAACTATAAAGGCTTACTAGACATGAAGACATAGACAGGGGAATAGAGAAAACAGCAACTAAGATAACTATAAGTATGAAGGTGATAACAAAACCAGCAGATATTACAAGGACTATGGCAAAAATCATACTTCTCTGAATCTCCAGTTCCTCACGGCGCAAGGCGAGCTCTTCTTCTCGAAGCCGCTGCTCCGCCTCTGAGCGTTTCTCCAAGAAGCTGAGAATCTCAGAGTAGGTCTGGCAGCAGCACTGGCAGGGCCGCTTGGCTGTGGGTGCTGCTGACAGCTCTGTCATTTCCTCACGCTCTTCTTCTTGTTCTGTAATTAAATGAAAATTCAGGCTACTGTTCCTAAAGCTACCATAGCAGAAATAGAAAAATTTGATCTTTTTTTTTTAAAGGGTCTTTACCTTGAATCACAATTTTAACTGAAAAATCCTGGTGATTTAATGAGCGATAACCACGACACTCTGTAAACTGTCTTTCCCAGCTGTTATGACACTAAGATTTAGACATTAAACAGCATCTGTGACACCAGTGTGGATGGTTACACATCCTTTGCCCCTGTGTTTCGAATCTGCTCACCTGCAGTGGTTGTTTGCGGGATTGTGATGTTGGGTTTGTCCTGTTCTGGTAGAGTTAGTTCTTCTGCGACTCGATTTCTCCGCTCTTCATCCTAAGAAATATAAGGGAGAGATCTGTTCAACAACAAAGAATACATACATTTTACTCAATGTCTTTGCTTACTTTATGATTGTGAATATGATCCTTTGGGTAAAAATGCTGCAACAAATGACTTGAGCTTGATTGTGCTACATGTAGTGATTTTTAGCTGCTTCCTTATTTCCTAGATGTTTGATTTGAGAGATTTTTATGCCAGATGCCCTTCCTTTGTGACTTGTAATTCTGGGTATAAGCTAAACTATGAGCAGCAAAATAGGCAGATCGTTGCAGAGAATGTTAAAGTGTTTTCATTCTTAATGTTCCCATTAATCTGGTCAGCCATATTTCCATAAATCTGTAACTGTATAGAAAAAAAGTGAAATACTGTAACTTAAGTGATTTATCTACCCCTCTAAAGCAACCCTCTGAGGTCTATGTTGTAAAAAAGGGGAAAAAAAATCACATTTTCTTCCACAGAAGAAAGCACCTTTCTCAAAAATACAGGGTTGCAGTAGGGTTGGGATTACGGTTATCACTTATGATGACTTAGGCCTTATTAAAAAAGGCATTTTTTACACTAGCATTGTAGTACACATACACATGCTCCTCTCTCTCTGCTGACACAATAATAATACTACTCACCTGGTACTTTGTGCCATCATTGCTGACTATGAGTCCCTTCTCAGCTTCCAGCTCCAAAACTTCATGGAGCAGATCCTCCTTCTGGGCATACAATCTCTCTGTTCCAAACCTGAGTAAAGGAAAAGCACACACGTGTGCTCAAACTAAAACTTGCTAGTAAAGCCAGTAGTGTACATCATGCATACGGTGCAAAGATTTCTTTACTCCTGGCTTTGGCATTGTGTTGACTGAACCAACCTGCGTAGGCTGGGAAAGTCTTGTTTCTTGTAGTAGTCTAGCAGCAGCATGGTTCTCTCCCTACATCTCCTGGCATCCACCTCAAAGTTTTCCTCTTGGAGGGCAGCAGTGATAATCTCGCCCACGCGTGCCCAAATCCGTCCTGAAATCAATCAGTTCACACATTCATTAATGTATACAGGAGGTTTGTAATACCGACACATTTAACAACTTGAAGAAAATACATTTATACAACTTTTTTTCCCCCACCACACACATTTATCATGCAGAAAATGCAGTTGTCGGCATTCAAGCACAAGTCATTAAAAAAAAAGACAAACCTGGCTCTTTGGAGGCAAAGGGATTCTGTGCAATAACCTCTCGCAGAAGGATGATGTCATGGCGTGCTGAAAACCGCACCTGCCGCTTTCGTGGGGTTGTGGAAGGACAAGCGAGGGGGAAACCTTAAGATGGAAATAGAACAGAATAACTTTTCCAAAATAGTAGAAAAGAACATGCTGAAATACAGCAAGGTGTATTGGTGATCTGATATTCTTCATACACAGTGGGCTTAGTTAAGGTCCTCTTGACCTCTGACCTACTTGAAAATCAAACATGAATTTGACTCTGTGGCATTATAGTTCTCTTAATTTGCACGACACCTAAAAAATCTAGAGTAATCTTGAAAATCAAAGAAAAAAAAAACCTGCACTTCCTGACGTAGACTTCCTGCGAAATATTAAACCGCATGTGTTTTGATTAAAATAGAATTAAAGTCTATTTGTTTATTTGTTTGGATTATTTTCCTTAATTCACTGTTACCTGTTTAATTGTGCAATTGCATGTTACTGCTTGTTAATGGAAAAGACATAACAAACCACGATGGAGAATAAACTGGGCCTTTGTATTGGAGAAGAGAGGTTAAATGGCAAAGGCAGTGTGCCAGTTGCAGAACTGCGATTTGACAGATGACAGCAACTCTGTGACTACACTGTCTCACACTGTGTACAAGCTGACAGTAGCCTGCAGCTACGACAGATTAATCAGAGAAGCGAGACAACCTGTAAAGCACTGATAGCGCCACTGTGGCTACAGCAAATTTAATGCCGAACCAAATGCGTAAGAGGAGGAGGAGCATCTCTGCACTAATCGAGAGCAGCAGCAAATGCTGTTTAGGAGATGTTATTTAAGTGGCTGAAAGGCGCGTTAGACGTGGAGGTGGAATGAATCTCACCGTTGTTGATCGGCACTTCCACCACTACCCGTTCCATGTTTCTGTTTGGTGCATCCGGGAACCGCCTGACGTGCACGGTACACGTCCACTCACCAGTACCGGTTCCCTACTGACGTGTAACTCAACTTGGCAGAGAATCACAATGTGGTACCGCTCTTCTTCTTTAGTTGCGCTTACTCTGTTTGACCACAAGATGAAGCCAGAGGACAGCAGGTCGAATGCTGAAGTACGCGTATAGATGACTTCTGCTACTGATTTATCGGAACGTAGTAACAGCATATGGCTCCAGAGAGTACCAAGCGCTCAAAATAGATGATATTTATCAGCCGTGAGATATTGACAAGGGGTATTAATCATAGCCGGCCGAAGGTTGTATTGGCTGCCTCTATTATTAATAACAGACTAATTCTAATTCATGCAAAAATGCTTGTGCAACTGTCTCACAATTTTTTTTACATTATAAAAAAATTATAATAAAAACAGTGTAGGCAGCAATAATTCATGTCTGCTGAAGGCAAGGTCATAATAACTCAAAAGATGCTTGTAGTGCTATTAGTGACTGTCATTACAATGCATTGTCCATCAAACTGTTTGTACTGTATCAACAGTTACAAACTGTCAAATGAAGCTTATATAACATTTGTTACATATAGTGAATCAAATTTCAAGTCAATTTTATATATGGTCCAAAATCACAAATCAAATTTCAAGTTTGAGGTAAACTTGTTCCTTCCCTCTATACTGATTTGCTCCTGCGTCTCTATTTCTGCTTCTTTTATGTCCTTATGTTATCCTTAGCATTTTAGAGTAACTCCTAGTTTCCAAAGTCATTATTTAAATGTGACCCAAAGGAGGTATCCATTTCAATAGGAATGTTTAATGCTAATGCAAAACAAAATCTTTCTATACATGTAACAATAGGACCCAAGACAATTAACAGATCTACTTTATTAAATACATGTAAAACTATAAAATTGTACGATCGTAGGTGGAAGACATGATAAGCGCTGCAGGGAATCTATTAAAAACTAACACCATGTGTCACACGTTAAAGGCACGGCAACCTACACCTAAACAGCTATATGTAATATACTCCACACACATTAGCAATGCTCTAACAAACTATAAATACATGGCATTTTGTACAGTAATGTATTGTTAATTATAAAAACAGTATGCAAATACTGAGAGAAAAATAACCATCCATCTATCCATCCAGCCACTTCCTCCAGCTCATCCAGAGGGACACCGAGATGTTCCCAAGGGCCGAGAGATATAATTTCTCCTGCAAGTCCTGGATGTACCCCAGGGCCTCCTCCTAGAAGGAATACCTCACCTAAATGGTAAATGGCCTGTATTTGTATAGCTCTTTACTTAGTCCCTAAGGACCCCAAAGCGCTTTACACGTTCAGTCATCCACCCATTCAAACACATTCACACACCGGTGATGGCAAGCTACATTGTAGCCACAGCTGCCCTGGGGTGCACTGACAGGCGAGGCTGGCGGACACTGGCGCCACCGGGCCCTCTGACCATCTAGGAGGTGTCCAGTAGCCATTCTAGTCAGATGTCTTAACCACTTCAGCTGGCTCCTTTCAATGTGGAGGAGCAGCATTTCAGCCACTCTTCAACAAAACTAATTTCTGCAACCTGTTTTTGTGACCTTACTATTTCAATCAATATATGTGACCCAATGACGCCAACAGAACCACATCATCTGCAAAAAGCAAAGATGAGACCCTCCAACAATTGGCTATGCCCAGGTATTCTATCCATAAAAACTATGCACAGATTCAGTGACAGGGCAGCCATGGTGGAGTCCAACACCCTCCAGAAATAAATCTAACTTACTGCCGGCAGTATGAACCAAGCTCTCGCAAAAGTTAAACAGGGACTGATTGGCCCATAACAACTGGCCAGACACCCCCCACAGGATAACCAGAGGGACCAGGTTGAATGCCTTCTCCAAGTCGACAAAGCACATGTAGACTGGTTGGGCACCCTCAAATGTCCTCAAGAGCAGCGGTCCCCCAACCCCTGGGCTGGTACTGGTCCGTGAGTCGTTTAGTACCAGGCCGCAAGAGTTGAGGCTTGGGTGTGAAATTTATGGCTTTCAGGGTTTTTGCTTTTATCGTTAACTCGGTTTACCTGGGTTTTTCCCCGTGTGTTATGAATAAATCTTCCTTTTTTGGTACCAGTACTGTTTTTATTTCCCTATATTTATCCGCGACACCTTAAAGGCCGGTCCATGAAAATATTTTTGTACATAAACCAGGGACCGCTGCTCAAGAGGATAAAGAGCTGGTTGTTTCTGCTGGATCAGAGGTTGACTAACAGGTATGCTCTCCTCTCCAGTACCCTGGGATAGACTTTCCCAGGGATGCTGACGAGTGTGATCCGCCTGTAGTTGGAGCACACCCTGCAGTCCTCCATCTTAAACAGGGAACCACCACTCCAGGCAGTTTTACAAACCAGTTGTTTTTAATATTTTTATGATGGACACAAAGACTCATGAAAAGCTCTCCATGGATCATTAATGAAAATGTTTTGTGGTGTTTATTTTGGTTGTTTTGTGCAGACTGCTCATGTATTGTGCATTTGTAATGTGGTTTCCAGTCTTGGTGTGACCAAGAAGAGGTGTAGACAGCAAGAGGCCACCATGACAGATTCTCACAGCGATTAATCACATCAGGCCAGCGTTAACCTTCAATGTGGCTGTTGAATAAATTCACATACAAATAACCTTGCTGTAAAAGGACTAATGTATATGCAAGGACAGGCAGTCATATTTTGCAAAGAAAGCTCTTTATGGAGATTACAGTAGGAACCCTAAAATAAAACTACTGTATAATAACAATGCTGTAAATGCTACATGCTGTAAAGCTTTAATTCTCCGTAAAATATTTTACAGTAAGAAACTATAGGGCTGTAAATAACACTGTATACAAATATAAATATAGGCCATTTAACAAACATTGCAAATTCTTAGTATACCTAACATGCAAATAGAAAAAAACATGAATGAAAAACTAAGGAGTAAATATAGGTAAAGAAACTGCACTGCTTCGGTTAAGCTTTGTGGCCATATTTAGCATACCCTTTCCAAAAACCACAGGTAGACCTAATGGTGCTCACACACTCACGCTCTGTCATTGCTACTTGTGCAAGCAAAACCACACTAGCATGACATTGCTGCTGACATAATGTCAGGCAAGTAAACAGGGACCCAGACCTGGCAACCCGCTGCATTGCAATCATTTGATTATTTGGTTGAGGGAGTGTTTTGCAACCACATTAGGAGGTGTGGGGGACGGAAACAGAGGGAGTGTGTAGGGAGGGCTTAGGGGAATGAGTCAGAGTTGCTTTTTATAAACGACAGGAAATCAGTTTCCCATATTAGTTACTTTTGGAGAGCGTTAATTAAACATGGCAGCCTTCCAAGTAAAGGCGCTAACACTGCAAAAGCTGTCATTACCTCTGACTTATCGGGCCATTCCCTGACTGAAAGGAGATAACAGGTAATATGAACTGGAAACAATACATTAGTAGCTGGAAACAATATGCAATCTAACAGACACTGACTAACAGAGAAAAATGAATAATGTTATCACCAAACGCACATAACCTGTGTTTATACAGTACAAACCATCGCCATGGTTATGCATATAAAAGAATATGACACAGTCAGGCTGTAGCAGCCTGTGTGCCAGCAGCTGGCATCCTTGGTGCTCAGATGTCAGTGGACTGTTAATTAGCCAGGACACACAGTGCTGGTCATGCTGGGATCAAAGAACTTTTCCAGTAAGTGTTTCAGGGAAAAGTGACCACCACAAGAACAACATGAGGAGTTTTTCCTTTTAGCACCAATCTGACAGCTTTTTAAAATGCCTCCTCGCAACTTTTCTTGCTCCATTTAATGACCATGCTTCTGCCTTTCACCCATTCTCCCTTTTTCCCATGGTATTATTGTGTGTGTGTGTGTGTGTGTGTGTGTGTGTGTGTGTGTGTGTGTGTGTGTGTGTGTGTGTGTGTGTGTGTGTGTGTGCGAGTGTTTTGTTCAGTTTTAGCTATTTGTGTCTTTAAGCACTTTGTAACAAACAAGCCTCATAGAATGATGGAAAATATGCCTGGTGCTACGAGTAGAAATGAGACAGACACATTCTACTTTTCTCATCTGGTGTCTAAGTAAGAAATAAATCTAGAACAGTATAAGTGGTATTTGTAATTGTATGCAGAGGTTTCTTTGTGTGTGCGTGTGTGTGTGCGCGTGTGAACAAGCGACAGAGAGAGAGAGAGAGGAAGAGAAAGAAATTGTGGTATCCATGGCAGCAAGTGGGTTTCATTTCCTTTTTGCCCTTTTTATTCAGTGCTACTCATCTACGTCCTTGCAAAGTCACATGCATTACTGAACACTTCAGTCACTGTCAGGCTGCTTGACACTATAATATTCAAGGGCTGAATGTACACATTTAGATTCAGCAGGTGTTCTCGCCATCTTCTGTTCCTCCGAATCCAGCAAAGTTTGTTATCTAGCACGCCCTAATAAATGAGATGAATATGCTATTATAGTTTAGTATTGTTGCTGCAACTGTGCAATGACAGCTACTCTATAGTGCTCATTATGCCGAGGCACAGAAGCAAGAATATTTATATCACTCCACACAAACATTCAATCATTCTCTGTAATTCTCCCTTACAAACAGACACGTGCCATCTCTTCATACACACAGTATCTGTGCCCAAGGCCTGTGTGATTATGACATTTGAATGGCAGGCCTGCCCTTTTCAGGTGGTGCTCACTGAGAGCTGCCCTTGTGAGAAGTCACAGTGCTTCCACTATAGATGACTAACACCGAAGATGAGACCCCTCTCTAACTCTGTGCCCTCCCACTGCCTTTCTCCCGTCTTCTTCAGCTCCTCTGCTTTCAGCCACTTCAACCCTGCTTCTTAGATCATTTTCTCTCTGTGGCTCCCATCCTGTGAACTCTGCCTAACTCAAGACGTGATGTGGTCTCTTCCAAGAATTCTTCACAGAAATTCTTGGATACCCAGTCTGGGCATGTAGCAT